TATTTGCTTGGAGGAAAAGAAAAGAACATTTGCTTGGAGACTAAAATAGATAAATAAATAAATGAGATGAATAATAATAGTAATGAAATGGAGGTAAAAAGCGGCAATGGAGACGTTGCTATTAACGGCGGTGGAGGAGAGAGATAAAGAAAGAAAGAGAACTCAATTGGTGAGGGCGATGTCGCCGCGATTGACTCTGGCTCCATTGCCATAGAAGATCAGCGGTGATGAGAAGAGGGAGAAAGACTGACAGGAAGAAGATGAGGAGAGAGAGAGAAAAAGAGGAAGGTTAGATGAGAGAGACTGTGTGAGAGAGTGGGAGAGAAGTGAGATTCTAACCAGGTATATGATATATATATATATATAGGAGTAATTTGGACATTTTACACTAACATGTCTTTATGGACAAGGCTTTTTTTGGCCTGGATCTTTGGACGAAGAAAGATTGATTTTGAATTTCTAGACAGAAAGCCTTTTAATAAATTAAATTAGTATTGAATTACAAGATAAGTTTATTATTATTATTTGTAAGATGTTAACATGTTATTAAAATTAGATTAATATAAGATGGGGCTTGCTAAGGGTGCTCACGATTTGGTTACGATCGGGAAACTTTCAATCTGCCATCCATCTCCTGAATTGGCGGATTAAAAAGATAATCTACATCTGTCCGTCGGATTGGCGGATGCAGATTGAGCGGACTGACAGATGGATGCGAATCAGTTTGGAGATTTAAACTTTTACAAATTTTAAACATAATACAACAAATTGTCAACATTTTTTTTGGATAACAATCTAACTCAACATAACTAAAAGATTATTAAGTAAATTGTCAAATACCAATAATAAATACGTACAAAAAAAACCATGCATTATCAAAACTATTTCATTATTTTTTTTATTCAAAAACTATTTAATTTGATTTTCTTTAAAAAAAAATGACAAAATTAAGCTTTATATTTGTTATACAAAAATATCAAATATTAACACTTGCCATTTGATAAAAGAATTTCCAAATTGAAAACAAATGAACAACATAACAGAACATATAAACACTTTTTCAATTGAAAACACAAATAGAATATCTAAACAAATTGAAAATACAATGTCTTACAAATTACTAAGAGGGTTCATGGTTTGGCAGTTCAGTGCGGCCAAAAGAATCTCAAATCCGTCATTCGTCCAAAACTAGGCGGATTAGAAAAAATCAATCCGCAACCATTCGTTCGTCATTACGTATCCGTCCAAAATACGACAGATCGATTTGTTTCGATCAGTTTAGACAGATCAAAATATCCACTAATCACCCTCAGAGCTTGCAATTCACCCATCAACTGGAAAAGGGATAAACGCAAGAATTCACTAGCATTTTATGGTAAACACTATGCTGCTACGATAATTAAATTTTGATTGTCATCATATCTAGATAATTTTATATGCACTCTATTACAAAAATATACTATTTTATCATAAAATTTTGTAATATTAACAATAAAATATAATTTCATCATAAATTGGTGTAACAAATTTTTTAAAATTTTGTGATTGATATTATAAAAAGGGTTTGGTTATGGTGTGCAACTTACACCTTACACCTTATACCTTACACTTACACCTTACACTTACACCTTTTGTAAAAAATTAAACCTTACACTTACACCTTTTTTGAGGTTGCACACCATGTGCAACCCACTTACACCTTACACCTTACACTTACACCTTACACTTACACCTTATACTTAGACTTACACCTTACACTTACACTTTTTGTGTAAGTGGCACATGGTGTGCACTTGCACACTTAAGAAAACTCCTTATAAAAATTTGTGATTTGGTTATGATATTTTTTTTACACCAAATTGTAACGAAATTAAATTACACATTTTGTAGTAAGGTGCATAATTTCCCTCATATTTATAAGACCCTTGTTAACAAGTGCTGTTAAAACAAACACACACACACACACACAATACAATGCATTTTTCACTAAGGCCTCTTTTGACAAAGAGGTTAAAAGTAGTTTTTTTTACTTTTTTAACTTTTTTTAAATCACATTATCTCTCTATTTTTTTATATATGTTTTAAAAAAAAGTTTAAAACAATAAAAAAAAAAACTAACTTTTAACCTATTTCCTAAAACAAACATTATTGCTAATATTTAATGCTCAATATATTAATCTATATCTATCTATATCTATACCATATATTAAGCAAAATGAGATTTTTAACTCTCAATGCCTGTGAGAGTTTCAATATCCCAATGTGAATTTTTTTAATTTTTTAATTTTTATTTAAAAAAAAAACTCAGCATTTGTTGATTTGGTCAAAATCCCCTGATCAGCATTTATTAAATTTTTTCAATCCACATGTCTTTCCACATGCCTACATTTATTGATTTAGTCAAAATCTCTTGATCAGTAATTAAAATCCCTTTATATAAATAATTATAGATACAATCCATGTATAGTTACTGCAGTACCCTTTTCAACTTCTCCAATACACTATGGTTAGCAATAAGATTGTTAAATTATTTTTATAAAAAATCTTAAAAAACATAATTTATATATTAAAAAAATTCTAAAACAAATATAAATATTTATAATTATCCCGTGCATAGCACAAATGATAAGCTAGTATTATATAAGAAAAATGAGGTTTCTAACCCACAAGTCTTGTGGGAGTTCTAATATCTTAATATCAATTTTCTAGTTTTTTGATTTAAAAAAAAAAATCTCATCATTTATTGACGTCTCCCAACCCACAAGCCATTTTGACTTCTCCCATACTTACTGTCGCACCCTTTCAACTTCTCTTATACATTATGGTTAGTGATGAGATTATTAAATTATTTTTATAAAAAACTTTAAAAAATACTTTGTATTTAAATAATATCTAAAACAAATATAAATTCTTATTAAAAAATAACATGTTGCAATTGCAGAGAAAAAAATTACACTATGCATTTCATTAATAATGCTCAAAAAATGTGCTAAGTGTTTGTGTAAAGGCTTGGCACATGTCCATTATCAAATTATCAAGTGAATATAGATAAAATCAAAGAACTCAGCTTTAATGGCTAACAAATATTAGAAGCCTGACCATTGAAGCCTAATAACTACTAATTAATAGAATTCAACAATTGAAAGGTCTCATACCACATCTCTTTATGTTCTTAAATGTTTCATTTTTTTTGGTTCATGCATTCATTCTAATATTGATATAGAATTGAATGTGCGAAAGAGTGAGAGACATTAAAATTATATATTGAGTTATGTAATTATTGTGATGAAAAATAAAGGTTGTATTTCCCTTCTGTGGCGATTTATCTGGTTGTACATCCAATTAAAACGTCGGATGTGCTTCTATATCACCATTGAACGTTACTTTCATTTTTTTTAAATACTTTGTCTCACAATTATTTGTGTTTTTTGTTATAAAATTTATTACATCTGTGTTTGCTAAAGCTATTAAATGGACCAAATGCCAGAAGTGCAGACCACTTCAATGTCATTCTCCGGATTAGAAGTACATAAAATATACACAAAAAGTATATGAATAGACAAGATTTTACAAAATTTATTTGTGAATCTCACTTCTTGAAATGTAATTAATTTATTTTTTGTATTATATTTTATGTTTGGTTTTTTTTTATATAGTTTTCTTTGTTTTCTTTAAAAGTTTATTTTTAAAAATTAATAAATAAATCATTTTTTATTTCAAACAATTTCATTTTCATTTTCGTTTTTATTATTTTATTTTTTCTTAAAATATACTTACTTCTTTTTTTTCTTTTTTTCTTTTTCTATATATTGTAATTTTGTGCATTTTAAGTGTATGATGTTTTCACTAATACACTTGAAGATGCACTATGAAAGAAGTATCATGCGAAAATCAAGCAAGACTTTTTGAAAATCCTATAATTCATTTATTTTTTGTATTATATTTTATGTTTGGTTTATGTACTTTTTTTTTTATATAGTTTTCTTTGTTTTATTTAAAATTTTATTTTTAAAAATTAATAAATAAATCATTTTCTATTTCAAACAATTTCATTTTTGTTTTTATTTTTTATTTTTCCTTAAAGTAGTTTTAGTTTTGGGCAATTACTTACTTTTTTTCTATATATTGTAATTTTGTGCATTTTAAGTATGTGATATTTTTACTAATACACTTAGAGATACACTATGAAAAAAGTATCATGCGAAAATCAAACAAGAAGAAAAAATAAATAAATAAAACAATACAATGAATGCGGAGCAAAAATCAAAGATCAAAGATCAAAGATCAAAACTCCAAAAGCAAGCAAACAAACAAACAAGCAAGTAGAATATAATGTTTAACAATAGACATTTAAAAATTTACAACAAAATTTTGGAACTTTTATTTTTGCTAAGAAAATTCTATTTTGTACTGGCTAAATGCTTTTAAAATAGTTTTTTTTTTTAATTTGAAATTAAAATTATAGTAAATTTATGTAAGTATAATTGCTAACCACATTTTTTTTACTTAATGTATAATATTATATTGACTACTTTTCTTAAGTTTATTTTTTCAAATATTTATATAGAAGTAACAAAATGTCATTAGGAATAAATTTTTCCTTAATTTAGTTATAAATTTTGTCCTTACATTATTTTTAAGTTTTGAATAAAAGCAAACATAAAATAATTGATTAAAATTATGCTGCATTTGTTATATTCTTTTTTCTATGTATAAAAAAAACAAAGACATTAAAAAATTGCAATTGATATATATATAAATAATTGTAAACACAATCTGTGTATAGTACGGGTGATACATTAGTTAATATAAAAGATGAAGTATACTTAAAGGGAAAAAAAAATTAAAAAAATCTAAAATGAGTGAAATGGTTCCCAAAAAAAAAAAAATTTGAAAAGGTTTTTAATCTTTTTTTTTTATTTATTTTTTATTATGTTGAACATTAGCACAAGCCAACAGCAAGGCATTCGGATCCTCCAGTCTCCAGAGTATTTCCTGAAGTGATCTGGCGGAGTGGTTTGTGGCGCGACACTTGTCTCACTAGAAAAATTAAGGACTGAGATCAAAACCTCACCACAACAACGTCATTTTGGTGAGTAAATTAAAAAACAAAGGAAAAAAAAAAAACTTTTCATCTTTGTTTCAGTTATTCAACAACGAAGCTATTCCGATCCTCTACCTTCAACAGATTCGAAATAAAACAGGTTCATCCTTCAAACAATTTCAAAATTTTGGATTTTTTTTTTTTTAAATGGTAATAGTAATATAAGTTTGTTGAATGTATTGATTGAGAGATTCTTACATGATTTATTTCAAATCTATTCTTAGGTAAAAAAATCAGGGTTTTCATTAGGGGCTTTTTACATGATTTCTTTCAAATTAACATTGTTTTTGTTAGCTTTTTGATTTCTTTCATGTTTTCTGTGTTGATTCAGAGATGATTATTATTGACCAAAAAAAAACAAAACAAAGAGGCTCTACCATGCTGTTAATTAGAATACAAAAGCAGGTGAAACTATATATACAAAATAATTTTCAATTTTCAATATCTTTTGGGATTATTTTCATTGGGATGATAATTATTGCAGTCAACTTTAATTCTGAATTTGGCACCCAACAAGGGGAAAATTCTCAAAAAATTAAGGTATTGTTGTCATCCATGATTCATATGGATGAATGAGTACTTGTTAGAAGTCGCCGCACAGGACGAGCTACTAATTGGAAACTATAAAAAAAAAAAAAAATTATGAATTTGTAAATATCACTGATTTGTTTGTATTCTTGGCAAGATTTTTTCTTCAACCTTTGTCTTTTGATTTGTGTAATGAGAATTGGGAAGCAACATCAAAAGTTCAGGTTGGTCAAGATTATATCGAATGTGGTTAGTTTTATGTGAATTTCAAAACTTTGATTTCAGCAAGTTTAAACGTCTTCAAACTGACTTTCCAAAAAATAAATAGTTTTTGAAGTTTTGTCAAAAGAAAAATGAAAGAGAAGATATGTGTGTGTTCATATTGTTCTTTTTTAAATTAAATTGATAATTTTTTTTTTTTTTTAAACGTAAATGTTATCACACGCCACCATTATGTTTTGAAATGTTATGAGGTTTACAACCTTTATAATTTGTTGTTGGTACAGGTAAAAGAATGTCAACATCAAATATATTTATGAGTGATATTAGTAAAATTCTATTTAGAAATCGAAAATGTCATTGCAGGGTGAGAGTGACATTCAAAATTTCAAAGTTAAAAAAAATTCAAGGATTATATACTTTTAGTGGGACAGTTGTCGCGCCACAGGTAAACCACTTTACCAAACACTTCAGGATAATTCTCTAGAGGATCCTTATGCAACAGGAAGAAGAGACATAGGCAACACTCCAATAGCAAGAGACCCACGCAAGATGGAAAATTATGTGCGCTCAATTCGTGCACATAAAAATATTCAAAAATTATCTAAATTCAACTCATATAATGTAGGATATTTGCTTTTAGAATGAATTTGAACTACACAACACAACACAAATTTTTTGTTTTTTAATATATTTTTGTGCACAAATTTTGTGTATGTTAATCCAAATCAAGGAAAGATTTATAGAGAGTGTTTCAGAGGCCTTGTTGATTTTAGTTTCCTCATTCTTTTTCTAGTGCTTTCTCCCGTAACACCTAGTTAACAACACTTTTAAAAATAACTGTACATTTCCATTTACTTATAAAAATAATTAGTCAAGAATTATACAGTTATTTAATAAATTTCTATGTGATTGAATAATGTGATATCTCTTTTATAAAACTAAAAAATAATGTCTGTGTCGGTGGGAGTGAGGACCGGATGAACCCTAGCTACAACCAAAAAGTATTAATCACCATATTTGATTTTGATTGATTTTATGAAATTTGAGTTTTTTATTTTTTATATTTTTTTGTTTTTAGTAATTTTTTTACTTTTAAGATGCACAAACTTAGATACATTTAAAAAGTAAAATATTTGTGAAAAAATATTTTAAAATTCAATAAATATACAAGAATATGAAAATGTATTAAATTTATATATATATATATATATATATATATATTTGTATTTTTTTGTTTATTCATCAATAAATTTGCTCCTTTGAATCCACAGAAATAGGAAAGAATTGTTAGCAAAACTCCAAAAATGGATTTTTAGATCAAATCGTTTTGTTCACAAGCAAACATGGCCAATTTGAGAAACTAATGTAACATTTGATTTGCATTGCATCTTCATCTTGATTTTTCAGAAACAACCGACATGGGTTTTTGAAAGGATCGAAATTACAGGCTCCGAATCTTATTCTGCTGCTTAATCGCTTTATACACCAATTTGGGCTTGGATTTAAATTCCATGCACTTCAAATCCACAGAAACAGGAAAAGCTGTGAACTCCAAAAGCGAGTTTTTAAATCAAATCCTTTTGTTTGCTGACAAACATGGGTAAGTTGTGAAACTATTGGGACATTTGATTCGCACTGTGTCTTCGTTTTGAATTTTCAGAAACAACCAACACCGGTTTCGAAGGGATCGAAATTACAGGCTCAATTGAGTGTTATTCAGGAAGATCTTGAGCATGCAAAGGGGAAGTTGGTTTTGGTTGAGAAAGAAAAAGTTCAAGCTATTAAAGAATTAAAAGAAGCCCAGAGATTGGCTGAGGAAGCAAATGAGAAGCTCAGGAGGCTTTGGTGGCTCAAAAGCGAGCCGAAGAGAATTCTGAGATTGAGAAGTTCAGGGCTGTTGAGATGGAACATGCAAGGTGGCTCAGAAGAAGGAAGAGGAGTGGCAAAAAGAGCTTGAAGCTGTGAAGAACCAACATGCTCTTGATGTGACTGCTCTTCTGTTTGCTACTCAGGAGCTCCAAAGGATTAAGCAAGAACTGGCCATAATTGCGATGCAAAGAACCAAATCCTCAGCCATGCTGATAACGCAACGAAGATTGCTGAGATTCATGCTGAGAAGGTGGAGATTCTATCTGCTGAGTTGGCCCAATTGAAGGCCTTGCTTGATTCCAAGCTTGAAATGGAGGCTAAAGGGAACAACGTGTTGGTGTCTGAGCTGAATTCAGAGATAGAGATTCTAAAACGGGAACTTGAGAAATTCAAAAGTTATGAGGACAAGTTGGTGGAAAAAGAGGCTTCCATTGAAGTTGAGCTGGAGGCTGCAAAAATGACTTAATCATATGCACGTAATCTAGTGGAGGAGTTGAAGGAGAAGGTTGAGGATTTAGAGGTTCAGGCTGAGAAAGCAAATAGCTTGGAGAGATCTGCTTCAGAAACTTTGGAATCAATCATGAAATAACTAGAGGGAAGCAATGATTTATTGCATGATGCAGAATCTGAAATTGCTTCTCTTAAAGAGAAGGTGGGTTTATTGGAAATCTCAGTTGGTCGACAGAGAGGGGATCTTGAGGAATCTGAACGTTGACTTGATATGGCCAAGGAAGAAGTTGCTGAGATGGCGAAAAAGGTTGAATCTCTGAAGTCTGAGCTTGAAGCAGTGAAGGAGGACAAAACCCAGGCCTTGAACAATGAGAAGCTTGTAGATGATAATGTTCAAAACCTGTTGGAAGAAAAAAAACAAGCTCATAAATGAGTTGGAAAATTCCAGGGATGAAGATGAGGAGGGTAAGAAGGCAATGGAAAGTTTAGCTGCAGCATTGCATGAAGTTTCCTCTGAAGTGAGAGAATCCAAAGAAAAACTAGTAGCTAGTCAAGCAGAGAATGAAAATTATGTAGCCCAAATGGAAGATTTGAAGTTAATTGGTTTTGAAATCGAAAAAAAAAGAAGTATAAAACAATGCTTGATGATGCAAAGCACGAGATTGATGTTCTTATTAATTCAATTGAACAATCCAAGAATGAATACCAAGTTCCAAGGCTGGGTGGGAGCAAAAAGAGCTTCATTTGACGAATTGTATAAAGCAATCAGAAGGCAAGAACTCTTCAATGGAAAAAGAAATAAGCTGGCAGGTAAATTTGCTAAAAGATGCTGAGGGAGAAGCTAGTGCAACGAAGGAGGAAGGAGCTCAGCTAAAGAAAACTTTGAAGGAAGTTGAATCTGAGGTGATATATTTGGAGGAAGTTCTTGGGGAAGCAAAGGCTGAGAGCATGAGATTGAAGGAAAGTATACTGGACAAAGAAAATGAACTGCAGAGTGTTATTCAGGAGAATGAGGAGCTTTGAACAAGAGAAGTTGTTTCTCTCAAGAAGATCGAGGAGTTATCTAAATTGCTAGAAGAATCTTGTTGGAAAAATGGCTTTGAAAAGTTTTGAAAAATCTTTATTTTTTGCTAACTTTGAGCATTAATTAAGTTGGGACTCAAACGTTATTTTTAATCTTTTTCATTGGGTTCATGTTTAATGCCACGTAGTGAATAAAACCATGTATTTAGTTGCTTAAAACCATTTCCGAATGAATGACAATTCAACGCGCATTTTCGGATTCGTAGAAATGGATTTAGGTGGGTTTCCTACACATTTGTGAAATGTGTTTGTCCTACATTGAAAAGGCTTATGGATTTGAGTGGGTTCATATACCCTAGCTTGGGATACTTGGGATAGGCCCCAAGAGGTACCCAAGTTTGTGGAAGGGTGAGGTTACGGATGAAGTGGGCGAGACCCATTGGACCCAAAACAAAAACCACGTGCGCGGCTGCCACCGTTCACCCGGTCGGGCGAGTTGGCCTAGGCGCGAGTACGTTGTGGTGTGAGGTTAGGTTGGGCTTGTCCAATCCAATACTTATCTTTTTGGGACAAAAACATTTGCGTTTTATTTATTTAATTTTGAATTTTGGTTTCAAAATTCAAATTAAATCTGTCTAGATTGTTTTTTCTCACTCAAACAGAGCCCTTCATCCGAACAGGTTTTCTACCTGTGGAAATTCAAAACCGAACTTGTTCAATCTGTACGAACAAATTTATATCTGTTTGGTACCTGTTCGAACAGCCACCTTTCTGCCTATATAAAGACTGCTTCCAGCAATTCATTTGATCAGATTTTTTCATCATAATTCCGTCATTCTTTCTCTGGTCTTCTCTGTGTTACTACATTTATTTTTTTAGGAAGAAAAAGAGAGAGTTACGACAGAGTTTTAGTTCACCAGACTTGATTTTATAGTGCTGTAAAATCAAGTGTTAGTCGTTGCATCCTGGGAAGTAGACGACGGTTAAAACTCGAAGCACCGGAGCGAGGGCGAAACCTACTTTAAGGAAATTGTGTCCAACACAAACCTCGACATTATTTTCTGTAAGCTTTTAATTCGGGAAATAGTTTATATAATTATTTTTCTGAATTATTTATTTAATTTATATATTTAATTTACACACACATACCACTGTGGGTATAACAATCTTAAAGTAGATTTTTATTTTTAATTTATTTGTGTAAGACAGACAAATATTTTGTTTCAGTAAATTAAATAGTAGTTATATACTGTTTAATTTCTTAAATAGTAGTAATATACTGTTTAATGATTTCTTTGATAACATAGTAGTAATATACTGTTTATCATTAGAATTTTGTTACAAAATATTATTCTGTATATTTTGTGTGTAAATTCTTTTTTGTATAAAATTGTGATTGGTACATTTTTTATTTCGTCAGAAATATGACAACTAACAGTACTGAGACTGTTATTACACAACCCCCACACCTATTATGCCAGTGATGACTCCAGTAATACCGATAAATCATGGGGAGAAGTCAGAAAAATTCAATAGAAATGATTTTAAAAGATGGTAACAAAAAATGATGTTTTATTTTACGACAATGAATTTGGCTTGCTTCACTCATGAAAAAGTACCGGCACTGAACGAGGGAGAAACTGACTGACAAGTGGTTGCCGCGGTTAATGCATGGAAACATGGTGATTTTCTGTATTGGAATTATATCCTCAATGGGTTAGACAATATATTGTACAATGTGTACATTGTCAAAAACACTGCTAAAGAACTGTTAGAATCTCTAGATCATAAGTATAAGACAGAGGACGTCAGTACAAAGAAATTTATTGTTAGCCATTTTCTGGATTTTAAAATGATGGATTCCAAGACAGTTATTAGCCAGGTTCAAGATCTCTAATTAATTCTCCATGACATACATGCGGAAGAGATGGTTCTCAGTGAATCTTTCCGGGTTGTGGCAATCATTGAAAAATTGCCACCATCTTGGAAAGAATTCAAGAATTATCTAAAGCATAAACGTAAGGAGATGAAATTGGAGGAACTGATTGTTCAACTCAGAATTGAGAAGGACAATCGTGGTTCCAATAAGAAGTCAAGAAACCATGTTATGCAAGCTAAAGAAAATGTTGTGGAACATGAACATGGGTCAAAGTTCAACAACAAGAAGCGAAAGCATGATGACAATGGTCTCAAACAAGGATTCACTAGTAAGATCAAAGGGATCAACAACGGGTTCAACAAGAGATTCAAAGGCAAGTGTTTTGTGTGCGGTAAAGATAGACATCGCGTTAAGGATTGTCACGTTCACAACGACGGAGGAAGTTCGAGCAAAAAACCAGCACAAGCTAACATAGCCGAGGACTTTTATCTTTTCGATGAAGTGGCAGACATCAATCTTGCTGCAGTAGTCTCTAAAGCAAATTTGGTAGGCAATCCCAAGGAATAGTGGGTGGATACTGGAGCAACCCACCATATCTGTGCAGATAAGAAGATGTTTACAACCTACAAAGTGGTGGAAAGTGGGGAACAACTTTTCATAGGAAAATCCTCCACTTCAACCGCAGAAGGATAAGGAAAGATTGTGCTAAAAATGACCTCAAGAAAAGAACTCGCTCTTAACAATGTACTCTATGTGCCAAAAATTAGCAAAAATTTGATTTCTAGGTCATTGTTGATCAAGAATGGGTTTAAATTAGTTGTTGAATCTGATAAAGTTGTACTCTCCAAGAGTAGAATGTATGTGGAGAGAGGTTACACGAGTGATGGGCTTTTTAAGCTCAATATAATAACTGTTGTACCTAATTTGGCTTTTAATAATAAGAACACATCTTCTATTTATATTGTTGAGTCTTCTTTTTTATGGTATGGTAGATTAGGATATGTTAATTTTAATTCTTTACATAGACTTGTTGCTTTAGAATGTTTACTAAACTTAGAATTTGATCATAATCATAAATGTGAGATTTGTGTTGAGGCAAAACTCACCAAGGCATCATTTAATAAAGTTGAAAGAAGTATTGAACCTCCAAGTTTAATTCACACAGATATCTATGGTTTAAAATTTGTTCAAACTAGAGGAGGTAAGAAATACTTTATTACTTTTATTAATGATTGCACTTGATATTGATATGTTTACTTATTGAGAAGTAAAGATGAAACCGTAGAAGCTTTTAGACAATATAAACTTGAGGTTGAAAATCAACTTGGCAAAACTA